GGGTGGGTCAGGTTTCGGCCTGATAGTTTCCACTTTACTGGATTTGTGAATTCTGGTTTATCTCGACACATGTTAAACCCGCGTGATAGAAGCCAGTTTTTAATAATTGTAGTGTCTAGCTTCCATTGACTCCATTCTACTCTCTTTTTCAAATGCTACCAACCTTTTACTTTTCAATGTTCCAGTCATTTTTCCGAATTACATTATCTTATCACCCCCAAGGTTGTCATCCTCTGAAATTTCCAACAAGGTCCCCCCGAAGATGAAAAAGCACATTGCTAAATTTTGGGGCTTTTCCTTTCATATCTGAAAAATGCTGAAGATGGCAAGTACCTTCGACAATCATCATATGTTAAAATATCCAAAGTCTACGTCTCAAAGCCACGCTGTGGAGAATGCCGCGGTTTCAGAGGACGGGTATTCCGACCACAATCGGAGAATGTATGATAATCCCACTCTTGAGCCTCTGGCGCCCGCCACAAGGATCCCGTTGATGATTTTGTTGACAAACTAACAGAGCGGACTTTCGAGTTTTGCCCCTTTTGACCCTTGGGTTCGCTAGCTATCAGCTTGACAGAACCAACATTGCAAGCGCACTCACGGGGAACTTTGCATCCATCATATCGGTTAACCAGAACACTATTAACCTCGGGAATCAACTGATGTTCCTGGGTGTTATTGTACTTGAGATACCATCAAATATCATTCTACACAAGGTATCTAGTAACCCTAGTGAAATGATGCTCGATCACTAAGTTGACATAGATTGGTCCTCGTCAATGGATCAGTGCGCAAGTCTGCATATTTGGAATAGTAGCCTGCCTACAAACGCTTGTGCGCAACAGGACAGGTTTCCTACTCACTAGAACATTTTTGGGTCTTTGTGAAGCTGGATATATTCCTGGTGCAATGTACACACTGTCCACTTGGTATACGAAGGAAGAGTTGACAAGACGAATCGCCATATTTTTTTTCGGCATGTTTGGCGGAACGGCCATTTCTCCACTTCTTGGAGCTGGCCTCTTGAAATTGGACGGGAAAGGTGGTCTCTTTGGCTGGCAATGGATTTTCCTCGGTACGAATGGGACTGATTTGCCAAATATCAAATTAAGCTAACAAATCTGTAGTCGAGGGTCTCTTCTCCATTGTGATGTCTTTTTTTCTCTTTTTCTTTCTTCCCGAGCACAAGGAAGATTCTATATCGTCCAATCAAGTGCAAAGTGTGGAGTTTGGAGGGCTTCGCCCGATGAACAAACCATTGGCCCCCCCTGGCAAAAAGCACATATCACTCAAATTGGTCTGGAAGACATTGACAAACATAAGCAAATGGCCGCATTTTATTGCCACAGGCTGCGTCTTCGCTACATGGAGCCCTCTCACGACATATACTCCGAGCATTTACATGGAACTAGGGTTTCCTCGAATTAAGGCAAATGCACTTTGTGCTATCGGAAGTTTGCTCACTCTCCCCGTTATTTTAATTTTCGCGTGGATGAGCGACAAATCGAAAAAACGGGGCCTGATTGTTATGGTTGCTATCTTCGTCTACTTGATCGCGTTAGTAATTCTGAGAATTTTGATGCACCGTGTGGATAAATGGGGCAAGTTCGGACTCTGGACAACAGTCAATGCTTTAGCTGTGGGCTATCATCCCATTCATAATTCTTGGATACAAATTAACTGCAAGAGCTCTGAAGAGCGGAACATAAGCGTTGCGTGAGTGAAGTCTTTCCCACTGGTCGTTCGCTAAACAGATGAGCTAACAATTATCCTTCAACCTGAAGAATGTGTAAGACTACCAGCCCTATTTTTGGCAGACCACTTCTTTCCAAGAAAACTAACCCAAGGAAGTTGTCATGGCAGCTACGGGGGGGCTTATGGCTGGAACCCAGATATTTCGGGCAGACGAATCAGCCATATTGTACGTCCTTGATTTCGAAAATTACGCACATAACAACGCTAACGATCACTCTGTTGACGACATAGTTATCCGCGAGGGGTTTTAATCATGATTGGGCTTGTGATTTTGGGACTGATTTTCGCATTCTTACAAATCTCGATATACTGGATCCAAAATAGGGGTCTCAAAGCGAAGTCTCCCAGTAGGGCGTTAAACATTTTGTAGTGAGCCCAGGGTGGCTTTTTTTGTCAGGTCAAAATTCGCACATTTCTCGTGTACGATCAAATCCTCCATATACAGATCCACAAAATTCACATTGCTGGCATTTAAATGGTCAACGGCAGGAAGCAGAAAATACAGAGATACTAACAACCCTGGATATAAACGACACATTCGCCAAAGCGTCAATCACTACTTGTATTAAGCCTACATTAGGAAATCATGATGGATCTATGGAAAAGCTCACAACTACAGTGTCTCCGTCAATTGACCGACTTTTCTTTTTAGCCAACATGTTCTTCAAGAGACTCACGTTATCAAACAGTTTATCAAATTTATCTTTCACCACATGTCGAGGATTGTCTACGCTTGGTTTGACGTATGAAATCTGTTCACCTTGCGGCAGTCTTCCTCGGTTCCTTGTCAATGCATCAATAGTCCGTAAGCATCCCACTGTTGGCCGCGAGAGAAAATTACTGAGTCCTTATTCGTGGTTCTCCAGCGGCTGTGGTATATCCTAGCACTATGTTGCTGTGATAGTGCGGCCATATCGGCTATCCACCGGTTCGCCGTCATTGCGGCGAAGCTTACCCGCAAATCATGCAATCCTGCCTGAGGATCATTACATCAAGAGCCGAGAAAAAGAATGATACCCTCACTTGGTGATCCAAAGCCTTGGATCTACCCTTTGCTGATCTTAATTAACCCAATGTTCTATCAAGGAAGTGTATACCGACTTATCTTTTAGTTGACTTCGCTGGCACAACTCATTCTAATTACGACTGATTTTTACCTATGCTCTGTATGTTTACATAAGCTGTTCAAGTTTCGTTCTCAACTTGTCGGGCATGATCTCCAACGGTTTTTATCTCTAAGATCAAAAACACGCACCGAACAAGAGATTTCATGCAAGCATTAAACGGAAGTTGCTTGGCTCTCAAAGCTTGGTAAATTTTCAATACGACGATCTTTGCTCCTTAAAAAGAAGTATCTTGACTCTTCAGGATTTAGACATTTTCTTGGCACTGGTAGATTTGAGCTTCGGGCTCTAGGGTTGTAACTCCTGCTTTAAATTTACCAATAAGTCTTGCAAAATGTTTCTGAACCTGTGCTCAACACCAGCCGTTGGATGGGTGATCAGTATACCAATTGTAATTTTTCTTTGAACCACATTCACTTGTCCCGTGACAAAGAACCATCGGGCATCACGGCGAAAGTTCCAACTTAGATATGAATGTGCTGGCAGCCCTCTCGTTGCTTTACAATGCTAGATCTCTTTCATCAGATACATACTGTGTTGAGGTAAAATCCCACTAAATTTACCTTCATACACACCGATTTGAGATTTATGTGTTCCTCCGTTATTGACAATGCGGTTTATGCTGGGCGCGGTGGTCCAGTATCAGATCCAAGAAGTCTTCCTTGTGCCACATCTCTTAATGTTCTCCATGAACCCGAGACACACACGAGTCCGAGCAAGAGCTGTGTGTCTAGAAGAATTCAGCCAGTACTATATGCTTTTAAGGTGCCTGTAGGAGCGCTGGAAGTTGTGGTGAGAGTTCGTACGGATTTTGTGACAACGAAGACGTAGCGCGGCTTTGATGGACGTTTTCAATCCAGCCAACCCTAGACCCGCGACTAATTACAATCACTAGCTTATTGAAATTACCATTTTTTGGCAAACTCAAGTCTGGCCCGTATCCTCCAACGACTTGCTGATATTTTATTGCCAAGTCTCCGGTGGCTAAATTACTGTGATCGACATTTATAGGGAGTCTGAAAGCAGTGCTAGAGCCCATCGCACCAGCTATGGGTATAGCTTGAAATGATGGAGATTTTCAAGTCCAGCAAAGGGCAACCAATCTACCTGGTCAAAAAAAAGGCTCTGGGATCTATCCATTTCGAACAGGATCCACAGGTCAACTTTGATGCAGAAATGTTGTCACATCATCCAACACTTATTGGACTAGAGGCCATTGGACCGCTGCTGTTGCTTCGGTTGTCTTGACTCCAAGACTGTCTAAACTTATGGGTGCAGACATATTCAATAGAGTGTAGAGCTTGAGCACGATCTCTGCCAATTCTCAATCTGTGATCTTGGGTACACAAGTTGCCTCTCTCGTCGCTTTTGGACCGGGGGGGAGAGGTTGCAGTCCCCGCGCCGACCAAAAGCCTCCAAGTCCAACAACGGTTTTCTGGGTGAATTTTCTAGGTTTGAACGTGAAGAAGACAAATTTCATGTATTCGATTAATGCAGTAGGTATGTGATCGACCTCTATATGATGAAAATTACTTGTACAATATTGCCACTCGGGGCCTAACGTGCTATCGTGTCGTGCAAATTCATCCATCTCATGACAAATGTGAATCCAAAATGCAACACCAGTTGAAAGAAGAGACGAACTTGTTGGTTTTTTGGTTTTTGAAAAAGCCTTTGCACTCAAGCGATCTCCGTGTGAAGGGTTCCCTGTGACTTGCGACCATACGGGTTCTCATCCGCGATCCAGTCCTGGTGGCGTTCGGGAATCTGGTAGTCGCTGCTCTTCCAAGGAACAACCTTGTTGACATACATCCAGTCAATCTCCTCGAGCGTGCGACCCTTTCCTTCAATGACGAAGAAGTAGATAACGCCAACAGCCACGAAAAGGCAACCAGCGAAAACGTATCCGTAGGCAAAGTCAATATCTTTGGTGATGAAGGTTGTGAAGAAGCTGAGGAGGAAGTTCCACAGCCAGTTGGTTGCGGTAGCTAGGGCCATACCCTTGGCACGGTACTTGGAGGGGAAAAGCTCGGCGATAATAGTCCAGATCATCGGGCCCCAGGTCATAGCAAATGCCGCAATAAACAGACAGGTGACGACAATCATACCTTTGCCGGCATTGGGAGTGTTGGAAGGTGTTTCCACGTCCAGAACAAAATGGCCAATGGACGCGAAGATCATGAACATGGCAAACATCCAGACCGCTCCGAACATTAAGGACTTGCGACGACCGAAGTTCTCAACAACGTACAAGCCGCCAAAAGTCGTGCCGAAGTTCACAGCACCGAGGATGCACTGGGTCACAAAGCTATCCGAGATACCAGCGCCTTGAAAGATAGTGGTACCCTATCAAAGATCAGTGATTTTGGCCAAGAATAAAAGTTAAAATTGCAATGGCTGTAGAAACTGACATAGTAGAAAAAGTAGTTAGCGCCGCTCAGCTGCTGCAGTGACTGCAGGACCATGCCAAGTGCAATGCGGTAGAGCATACGAGGAGCAGTGAGGAATTCATTCCACTTCTGGTCATCAGATTCGGCTTCGAACTGCTCACGAATCTCCCTCATCTCTTCTATAATGCGGACATGGTTCTCTGGGATGCCATAGAGCTTAGCTAGGGTGCTTTGGGCACTCTCGGCCTTTCCATGGCGGAACTCATACCGTGGGCTTTCCGGGAAGAATGCCATACCGCCGCCGAGGACCAGGGCAAAGAGGAAGGTGAGACCGAGAGTGATGCGCCACTGAGCAGTGCCATCAAGGGTGTGAGTACCCAGGTTGATGCAGTAGGCCAAGAAAATACCGAGGGTGACGAACAACTGGTAGCAACTGATCATGGCACCACGGATGTGACGGGGGGCACTTTCACCTTGGTACATGGGCACGAGCAACGAGCAACCACCAACGCCAAGACCCGTGACCCAACGGCCAATGACCATCTGGTACCAGTGGCCGTCAGGAGAGGTAATTTGAACAATTAAACCGACGTTGAGGATCATACACCAGAGAGTGATGGACCACTTCCGGCCCAACATATCAGCGATGGGAGCTCCAGCTAAGGCACCGATCAAAGTTCCGATGGACAACAAGCCGACAATGAGACCGGATCGCACACTGCTGAATTCGTAGGAACCATCTTTGTTGAGCTTACCATACCGCTCCAGGTAGTTGCTCATTTCCTGGAAGCCGGAAATCTGACCCGTGTCATATCCGAACAGCAGACCACCCATCGAGACAAAGAGGGCCATCACCAAGGATCGCATGGTTATCCGAGGGATTGGGGTATCGATGCCTACAGATTGTGTGGGTTTCTGAACGGCACTATTTTGGAGGGACGAATCGAGGTGCGGCTGTTGAGCTGGGGTGATGGACTCCCCATAGTGGGAAGGCGCTTCGACACCCATGGTATAGCTTGGGGGGAGACTGTTTTGGCCTGTCCAAGAGTTTGGTTTTTCAAGTTGTATTCAAGGGGAAAAAAAGAGGCAGGAGGACCAGCTTGTAAGAATAATGAGAAGAAAGAGGAAGAGAGGGAAACAAGCCCATGGAGAACAAAAAACCTTGGGGAACATGGGGGAACAGGGGTCTTTTTGTAATTCAGCAATCAGAGGGGAAAAAATTGCAAACCCTGGAGTTGATGTGGGGAGAGAATTGTGGAGAGTCGATTCGAGCGAGATGACGATGCCCATGGCTGCTCCTCTGTACTCCGTATACAAAATAGGCTGACAACAGTTAACAAGCCGGCAGAAGCCGACTTGCTCAGACACTCCACCAGGGGGAAAGGCCACATAGGGCAGGTTCCAAGCGATGATCGGCTCTGGTTCACCGTTTTCTGGTGGATAGCCGATTTGTTGGGCGCAAGGGTCGGGAAGTGGCGGGTTCAAGTTCGTAGGCCCAAGGCCGTACCGACGAACTGATTCGGGATCAGCAATCTTAGTCGGGACCGAGGAAGAGGCTGCGAACGATCTCTCCTTCGGTATGTTGTTGCCGTATCAAAGTGCTTTGTGAATAGTCACAGAAGAGTAGATTAAAATTCGAACCTATACAGCATTGAAAGCGTAGTGGGCCAGGAAGAAACTTTAAAAGAAACCCCGGCCATTCCCCAGGCCCGGGTTCTCTCCGGGTTCTCTCCTGACTTAAGTGAAACTCCTTTCCTGATCGGTATGCCGGTGAAAAAATCCACGAATACTATCTACTCTAGACACTGAAGGGGGTTTTCGAGGGAAAATGCGGAGTCTGGAGGGGATATACTCCATAACACTAAGTTGAGACATTACTACTAATTCACTGGCAGAACAGTGTTTTTACAAATGACCTTACAACATATATATTCTCCGTGCATAGCCTGTGTGAGGGCCAATTTCAATCCCGCGAAAAAAATTCAGCAAACATCGACACTGCTTTTGATACCCCGATGCCGAGTCCCGAGCTCGTCAGTGGCGGGCCTCCGGGCGCCACACCCGTCGTCCTACGTCATTGAAGAATTCTCAATCCTCTAATTTTTTTGGGAAAAAAATATTCTTTCATAATTTTATGTAAGTTGTGTGAAAATTTTCACATTGGCATAATAAATTTCATTATTATTATCTTTTGCATTAAAATCCAAAGATCCAGTACCCCTTAAGGATCCATGGACTTCCCTAGACCATTTCCTAAACAAGCAGTTCATGAAGTTCTTCCATCAATCCACTCACCTCCTCGCTCTAAAACCCCGGCTTTGGAGTCAGCACATACCCCCAACACCTATGGGGCAGGTATCGCTTAATATGTCACCCTCCGTGGTTCCCCGTAGTTTCTCCAACCTCAATAGTTACCTACAAAGTAGCTCGGCTCCGTTTGCCGGTTGATCCGCCACCCAAAATCCGGCATCCATGCTGGGATATTCGATGACAAGTCGGGGCATTTTTTTCCACGAACTTTTTCAAACTTGGAAACATGTCCCGCCTAGTCTTTCAGAACAGAGGTACCACAACAGTGGATATGAATGCATAGAAAAGTTAGGTCGCAATTCTGGAGTCAAGCTTGAGAGCTGTAGAATCGAGGCATCCTTCATTCTGTGCAAATCAACAACTCAAATAAGCTTGTGAGAAACATTATGGGAGGGGCCATAAAACGGGTATTTGTTGCGACTTTGTAGCACTTTTTGCCGAATACTATGTTGCAATGCAGGGTTGAAGACAGGGCATTGAAACCCGGAAAATCTTCGGATCGTCATCGTGGCGTACTCGGTATGGAGTAGCACTCCATTGAAATGGAAGGATCGGCGGAGAGCACATCCGTCCTAGTTTTGGAGGGCAAAGGCTCACAAAAACAATAAGAGGTCTTGGCATTTTGGGTTATGAATGGCTGATATCGTTGCTGTGTACCTACAAAAGACAAGGAAGCTCTCTACAGGAAAGTCAGAGTCTGTCACCACAGGGTGGGGGCCTGTCACATGTCACCGCATGTGATAACCGGTCACATGTCAAATACATTATTGTATTACATAATAGCATCTTAGCACGATTTAATAGTTAACTAACTAGTTAACTAGTTGGCAATTGAAACCGGCGGAATTTAGGATTAAAAGCCAATAGAAGAAGAGTAATTATGTGAGCGGTAGGTGTATTTGTCTTGGCGCTCTTCAACTATTGTGTTATCTAGGCAAATCAAGCCGGGAGCGTACCTGTCAATGTAGATCCTGCCGATCTTTCTGCACTAGTAATTTTGATATTTTGTTTTTTTTTTCCGAATACTGCTACTGTTGACGCCGTACTCCGTAGACGTTCTATGCAATACACCGCGTTGGCCATCATTAGCGTGTTCTTGGCGAAGCCACATTGTCAGAATTTTGATTGACTATGGAGCGTTCGGAGTAGATTCTTCCAAATTACTCCATACTAAAGCTTACAACAAAGGTGGGGGGGGGGGTCCATTAATTGTGGTGTGAGTGTGTTATGTTTGGTCGACTTGGTCCGCACAGGTGGGAAAAGGAGCGGATTTTGTTAATTGAGTTAGAGTTGTACATATTCATTGATCGTGCCATACCGAGGGACAGATGCTAGAGATCTACTATGAAGCATTAGAGAGCTCTGGGAAATCTCTACAACACAGTTGCGCTGAAGAAGAGAGAGGCTATCAACAGATACTAGACTGAAGTACTGGTATGCAGCAATGGTATGACTACACATACCATTGTTGCATACCTGGATTTCTGTCACTTCTTACAATAATCGGCCTACCTAGCCGGTCTTCCATCTATAATAATTGAGTGTCAATGACTTTTCTTCGGCTCTCGAGGACAGCGGCTGAAACGCCTTGACCAATTGAGGCAAGCGTGTGAATACTTCGTCCGCATTTCCTTTTCTGCAGGACTTGCCTCCTCCCACAATTTCAGTTGATCCACGCGCACCCTTAAGTTCTTAGATACCCCGCGTACTAATGCAAGTGGTTTGGCTTATGGACTTTGGTCCTGCAAAGGCCGAATGATCGGTGTTTCGCAAGCGGACTACCGCCTAGATTACTCCGCAAAGAACACGGGGAGCGTGCGGCATAAGCTCGATGAGAACATTCTATGGCCTGATGTATTCTCTAGTCTATGGGATGATTTCAATTTCCTAGTTCACGGCGGAAGTCGTTCCCCGTCTGTAGACAGTCTGCCCACTCCCAGAGAGTGTATATATATTTTTCATATCCTCACACAAACACATAGGCATACAAAGGCGAACGACAGGTGCACTAGAAATCCAAGAACAACATGAAAACGCTAGCAATCTTATCTCTGACTGGCCTAGTCTCTGCCCAAGCTGCTCCATACGCTCAATGTGGTGGGAGCGGTTATTCAGGCCCTACAACATGTGTCTCGGGCTGGACTTGCCGACATCAGAATGACTGGTTTAGTCAGTGTCTCGCCTGTAAGTGTGCTAAGATGTATCTGTTTCGATGCTTTGAAATCAACTAACACAGAACCTTTCAGCTTCTAGTGGTGGTACCACTACTCTATCAACAAAAGTCTCGGTCTCTTTGACAACCACAACTAAAACAGCCACTACAACAAAGGCAACCACCACGAGTGCAAGCAGCACAGGTTTCCCTAGTACCAATGGACTGGACTTTGAGATTGATGGAAAGACAAGCTACTATGCCGGTTCCAATTCCTACTGGATTGGCTTCCTCACAAACGATAACGATGTGGATCTTGTGTTTGACCATATGGATGAATCTGGGCTCCGAATCCTTCGAGTTTGGGGATTCAACGATGTCAACACTATTCCACCTCCAGGGACTGTGTATTTTCATTTGCTAAAAGACGGGACTGCCACCATCAACACCGGTGCAGATGGCCTGCAGCGCCTGGACTATGTTGTTGCCTCTGCCGAGGCACGGAATGTGAGACTGATCATAAACTTTGTCAACAACTGGTCGGATTATGGAGGTATGGCCGCCTATGTCACTGCTTTTGGTGGCAGCCAGACAACCTGGTATACAAATACCGCGGCTCAAACGGCCTACCGTGCTTACATCAAAGCTATTGTTTCACGATATATTGACTCGCCTGCCGTTTTTGCATGGGAGTTGGCTAATGAGCCCCGCTGCCATGGCTGTGACACTTCGGTTCTTTACAACTGGATCCAGTCGACTAGTGCTTATATCAAATCCCTGGACTCGAAGCACATGGTCGCCATTGGTGATGGTATTTAGGCCCCTGAGATCTCTGCCACCTGGTCGGTTGTCTAACCCATTTTCTAGAGGGCTTCGGACTGGACGCTGGGTCGGATGGCAGCTACCCCTACAGCTACGGTGAGGGTCTGAATTTTACGATGAACCTAGGAATTGATACCGTCGACTTTGCTACATTCCATCTCTACCCCTCGAGCTGTGCGTATAGCCTGTTTCCATTACCCTTGTTTTAGACCTTGCTAATTTATTCACGAAAGGGGGAACCACCAATGATTGGGGTAACGGATGGGTCACATCCCACGGAGCTGCCTGTGCAGCAGCCGGCAAGCCTTGTCTCTTTGAAGAGTACGGCGTGACTTATGATCACTGTGCTATTGAGGCTCCGTGGCAGAAGACAGCGTTGGACACTACTGGCATTGCAGCTGATCTCTACTGGCAGTATGGAGACACACTGAGCTCGGGAAAATCTGCCGATGATGGCAACACCATCTACTACGGAACAAGCGATTTTACCTGTCTGGTGACGGATCACATCGCAGCCATTGACTCCTAGGGGCCAGAGCTGTGGGGTTGTACGGAGGAGAGAGTCCAGCAGCGAGTCAGGAAGCGAAGATCTGTTGTACCTACTGAGCAAGGACTAAGGACCATTTGTTCTTTGTCATGATTTTGAATTGGCTGCGCAGTTTATGTTGTGGACAAATCGCGCAGAAAGAACTATTTTGATTGGGTATTTAGGATTGTGTACGAGCAACTCGGTGCTTTTCTAGGATTATTTAGATTGGGCTGGCCCCGGAGGGCGTAGAGAGGTTGGTGTCGCGATGGATGAAGAGTTTCATGTTGCGAGGGCAAGAGAGGTTTGTGTTGCGAGGGCAAGAGGGCTTTTTGTTGCGAGGGCAAGGGAGTTTCATGTCGCGATGGCAAGACAAATTCAAGGGCTCGGTGCCTTCTTGGGGACTTCACCGTAGGCTGAAGGTTCAGGGGAATATTCATCCCGCTCTACGGCATCGGTTGGCGGTCCACGATAATTGTTGTAGCCCCAGACACCATACCAGATGGCAGCAATACCAATGAAGCCAGCGAACACCACCGAGGCATAGTTCATGCTCTCCTTGGTCACAGATTCAAGTGTCGGCATGCAGAAAAGAGGAATCGCAAGAAGACTCCAGCCTAGAAAGATCAGAACGGTTAGCTTGGGGCTTAGGGCTTAGGT